AGCAGTATATATAGTTCAGAGCAGTATATATAGTTCAGAGCAGTATATATAGTTCAGCAAATGATCCCAGGGCTCAAAGCTTGATCCCAGTGACCCCAAAAAACAACGACAAGGGATACAATTTTGATCCCTGATTCTTGTCACTGAATCACCTTAATGATCCTGATCTCTGGACATTGATCCCCATTCCACTGATCCTTCAGCCCAAAAATAACGTCGAAAATATATACGTAGAAAGAAAAAAAAGAAGACTTGTAACACTAACTTGTCTTTCTTCACATCGGTCTTTACTTCTTGAATCTAGTAAAAGAAACTGTAAACCGTTACAGTGACAAAGGACTATGACAATATATATACTACAGGTGAATCAGTTTATTATCAACTTTACGAGTTTTTAATCACTTCCAGCCACCAGGTTGAGTGGACTAAAGCCGTCCTCCAAGGGATGGGGCTCAAACTGACAAAGTAGTCATACCGGTATGGATATTGTACGGGGCAGGTGCGCAAGACATGGGAAGAGTGTCTTACTGCTCGACAAGAGAGATAGCTCGGATTTAATAATACTTCTAAAGATATTTAGCTTAATGCATTCTAAATCAGCTGTAATCATTTGAATTGAAGCACACGAAAAGATATCAACATCAGTAGTTATATTTTAATTGGATGTACAAAGTTTAATTGGATATTTTAATTGGATATACAAAAGATTTGGATAATCTTMCTGTATTTCCCCGGAGCCTCGCCTACAAAAAGTGCATTGTGGCTATAGCGAGAAGCCGGCTGCGGGAAAAAAATGGCAGATTGACACTTTTGTTTTAATTGGTTGATTCATTTGGCTTTTCTAGTTATCCTCTCTATCAAATAGGTAACCTTTTTTCTCCATTTCTGTGCCTGCCATCAGACCGTAGGACGAATTTGAAATGGGAAGAATAGAGAGATATAAAAAACAAGAATATGGACCATAATACCACTTTTCAATATCCATTCAGATTTTAAGATTTGCGGTAATAAGTCCACAGTTTGGTGGATACATAAATGTTATTTACCTGCTGGGAGGTCCGTACGTATAGGAAAACACTGCCCGAGGCCTTGACAGTACGGAACGAGCGCAACGGACCGACCTTTATAGCCGGTAAATAACATTTTTATTTTTTTATTTGTATTTTATGCAACTTTGCTCGAAGCCTAGCCCGTCGACCGGGCAGATCGTGAAAAACCGGGCCGTTCGCTAGCCAATCACAGCGCGCGAATGACTAGGATACCAGACCGAAAAAAAATAATACGACTTATGTAATCAGTCTATAACGATGCCCCACTAAATTTTCAAAATTGCTTTCCCCTGAACTCCTGAACGGGGCTGGTACGGTCACTCTGAAAACACAACTCCATTTCGACGATAGAACTACCATGTTAATGTATTTCGGTCTTGTAATCCTGATATTCAACGTTTTCTGAAATAGCTGTACTGTACATGTTGGCAAGCCAATGGATTGAAATTTTGACTCAGTTWATTTGGATCGAGGTAAATATAACTGCTTTAAAATAATACTAAAACCTCACTGCATTCAACTAAAACTTCAAYACGAAAAACAAATGAGATAAAACAACAAATGTTATAACGTGATTTATTTTACAAGCCTTGCCATTTTAAAGTTATTAAGCGCACATATCCTTGTACAATCCTCATTTGCTTGTTATTTTACATTATCACCTAAAAATGAGTTAAGGCACTATTACCCTGTGCAATTTTCCTAGGCAACTTGCAATTTGTTTTGTTCGAGGTAAGTTGGGAGGCAGAATCTAAATGAGACTTTGCGCCTGCTCTAGCGGCATTGAGACACAGTGTAAAAAGGCCTTTATGCGAAATCGATCTAAATTCTTCAACTTTTTTTAATTGTATTTTTAATGTTTAATTTTTAAAAGATGGAGGTCGCATTAGTTACAAGATCTMATTTGTCTCATGAATCAATGCAGGTGCTAATTCTAATTAGTTATTTAGCAATAGACGATAGCTTGAAGCGGTTTTACTGGCGAAATAAACCGTGCGGGATGGTTGGGAGAACACGAGGAAAGATCTGTCAAAATAAACCAAAGCTTTTCTCATGAAATCCGCCAATCAGGGCGCGTGTTAGAATGGAGCTWTGATAATATGAAATTACATTGAACTAACTTGTTTGTGGTAAAAAATGAACGAGGTTCTCCATYATTAGTCTCAGCCATATCGGTTGTGAAAGAAACTGGAATCAAAGATTTTGAAAATCATATTTGTGTAGAAAAAGACCGATATGGCAGGCTCGATGATGTTACATGTATCTTAAGAAGCCTCTCMATTAATTGACTATTATAAGTATATACATGACATCTTTCATGGTTAACTTTGACGTAACTTTGCAAGTCTCTGGGAGAGTTCATCCTAAAAAATAAATAGCCCAATTGTTACATAATTATTGTTTTCAGCATAGTTAACTATGTTAACTATATTAACTATGTTTTCAGAAAAGGAGTTTTTAATGTTATTGGGCTTACAACAAGTGTACGTGTAGGAGTATTTTAGTGACCTTAAGTTCCATGCAACACGATTTGTATTATACCTGCTCTGCAGATGCAGTAGACGCTGTTCCAATGGCTGATTGTTGACTGGACGGCAATTCCATGTTTAGCTCAAGACTATAAGATAATAATCTATTGATAACACTAACACAATGCAAGGACAGTTCAAGTTCCTAGCAAAGAAACTTAATTACGATCAGGTAGCCTTGTGATTATTGTAGGAAAATGTATGTTCTGAGTACGATGCTGGCTCTTCCTCTAAAATTTCAAGATTCGCCATTTCTATACACCATTAACTGTCCTGGCAGTAGATCTTGAAATGTTTATTGAAAAAAAAAACCGAACAGTTGCAGTTCTTATTGGCCAACCGAAATTCAAAATGGGACTGTTGTCTAGTCTTCAAGAAACAGATCCTATGAGGAAAAAGGACATACTGTACTTGAATTCTACTGCTGAGTTTTGGCATATTACAGAGTAGCAAGCATTTAAAACTCAAAAATACCAAAGACTGTAAAACCTTCTTTCTCTCTCATTTTTGCAGATTTGAAAAATTGCAATTTGGTGAGAATAAACCAATCAGACTCAAACTTGAAACTATGGTCTTTCACATGGTGGTGTTTAGTTTTAGTGGACTATATTCTGTTGATGCTTCTTCCCAGTCTCATTTTGAATTTCAGAATGGCCACTTGTATCTTTGTGCATTATTTAAACACAATTATAATCAAAATGCAAAGTTTACAAATACATGTACATTTACCAAGAATATTGACATGGAATATCACATGTACCCCATCAATATCAAATTATTTCAATCTTTGTTTCATTATCATCTCATTTGCATTGATTGACACATGTGATATTCAGCCTTGGATAGTATCTTACCCTGCTTCATCAGCGACCTGTTGCATCAATGAATCAACTTGGCCCTACAGACAACCACACAGTTAATAACCATTATGATTTGGACCAATCACTTAGACTTGTGTTCTGATTACAAAGAAAATCATTGCATTGCAACTTCTTCGTTTCGAAGTTTGTCTTGATTTTGTTCTTTCCTTCAATCGATGTGGCGGAGGTTTTTGTTAACTCATTGCTATGGATGGTTTGCACAAGCTTCGCCTCAAAGTTGMAGAAAAATCTAAATCCCGACGATTTTTTTTGAAAATTTAAGTGGTGATGCAACGGTTTCTGCTGTAATCAAGACATGTTTCACCAGTGCGCTGCCTCAGATTGATAATCAAATTTGCATTGATCAGAAATAATGTTTTACATGAAGTCTCCAGTCTTTATAAGTAATGAAGATGTTACAATCAACAAAAATATTTGAAATATAAATAACAAGCAATATTTTCAAAGGACACTCGTTATAGAATGTCTATTTCAACCCAAAATACAAAACCTGAGAATACATCGTTCTCTACAATGCATTAAATTCGACATAGTATTGGAGTTTATGATTCATTTTGTTTTCCAGGGCTCATTTTGTCAAGAGTAGACAAGAAAAATGACATTATGCCCTTATGACAGGTAGTGTGCAATTTGGCAATGAGTCAGACTTTGTACCCAGGCATTCCTTATAATCATAAACAGGTCCTGGGATGAGCCAATGATGTGCGGTACAAGCAAGAAATGCCTGGGGAATAAGCTGCCAATTAAGGATCTATTGTAACCAAGTATTAAGAATGGTTTACCTGTGGTACAGTGAGAGTTGTTGTATTGCTCATAGCACTATCCATAGCAGCAGACTGGACGTCAAGATCTTCAAATTGTTTCTCAAACTTATCCATTAATGCGGAGACCTAATTTAAAATTCAAGATTATCAATCAATAAATACATTTTTGTAATATAATTACAACAAATTCCATTCTCATTGGCTGATGAGAGGTCAGTGGATTGCCACGTTTTGCATGCTCAAAAATGACAGTAACATTTGCTAAAGGAAACATCATAAAAACAGCTGCTTGAGTCTTCTCTACTAACTTAACCATGGACATGGACAGCACTCCAGTAGTAAAGAGAAGTTTTCATTTCTTATATATTTTGGGTTTAATTCTCTGTGGAAACAAGTATGGAAGAGAGGGAACTGAGTGATCTAAAAATATTGACTAACTTTATTTAACACACAGAGACCTCCATCAATTTAGAAAGAGATTTCAGAGGAGTATGTGGTCAATATGTTTCAATAATTATGTGCTCTTGATATTGGAGGATAATTTTTAATTTATTTATCTTAGTTTTTAAAGCCATTATTTCACCAGTTATCGATCATAATGTACTCTCACCTCAATTCCCTGCAAACAAGCATTGAGTATTGAACCAGTGGTGGTACATACCTTTTCTAGGTTCATAGACTTTAATGCTGCGTCCATGGATTTTACGACACCAGCCATGGACCCTGTCARCTGTTTCATTGTGACAGCTGTCTGCACTCTCTGAGAAACAGCATCTATACGAGAACTCATCCTCAGGAAATTGATATTCTGAACATGAAATAAAACATAACTATAATTTATATTTGAGTMAAATTAACAATTTAGACAGTGTTTACATCAAAAGAAAAAACATTTTCTCAGTGAAAAAATATTAGATGGACAAAATGTGATTGAAAATAATGTCATCTACAAAAGTTCCAATCAGAACTCTTCTTAAATTTTTCAAAGTAGGAAATTATCATGCTGCTGCAACAGTCACAGCATATTGTACTAAAATTTTCCACCATGTTTCACCAACCTGGTTTTTTTGTCTTATAGCATTTTCACCATAGATCCTAGCTCCATCCATGTTGCCTTTTTGAATTGCCTGGAACAAAAAATAACACTCCATTAATTCATATAATGCAATCTAATTACAGCAATAAAAATATTAATTATTTTATACAAAATACTAACCTTTTTCAGTTTCAATTTTTCTGCTTTTTCCTCTTTTTCACATTTCTTTGCAGATCTCTCCATTTGTTTTGCAGCCATCTGGGAAAATCAATCAAAAAAAAAAATCTTGAGCAAATGTAATAGGTTCTATTGATTTTGCTTTTTTCTTTTGTTTTTATTTTTTTTTTTTTGTTTTTTTTTGGAAGATGGAGTTAATGCCCAATCACAGCATGATGCCCTTAATTCAACTATTTTTATTATTTAATTAATATTTTGTATAATATGGCTGGATTTCAGAGCTGTATACCAATGTGCAACTGTAGTGAATTAAAGGGTTACAACTATTAATTGTCAACAATATCCTACCTTCAAGTTAAATAAGTGTTCTTGATAGTTAAGTTACAGTCAAGGAAAGAAAATGAAATAGAATACAATGTTATGTTTAATGTAATTTATCTTTWATAATTAAATGGAAGATCATTGTCTTGGCCAAATCTTTATATYAGCAAGAGCYTTGTCMTTATTTGGATTATAACTTTAACTCRGGCCTTTATGCAGYACACAGTTTATTAAAAATAATARGTSTCCCACTTATGTTTTATATAATTTAAAAAAACATTAACTTATTGTAACATTATATCTATACATGTACATAGAATATATTATATACTTAGAGGATATTACATGGGTGCACAGAAATACAGATTTTATCTTCGAGTTGAAAAGATCTATCACGATCGAGTGAGCATAGCAAATTTCAATGCAAGAAGATAAATTTCATATCTCCATTAGCRACCTAGTATGTACATCCAAATGTGGAAGTCATACAGCAGACCTCTACCATTATTGTGAYTGCACCTAGATGAAGTATTTGTGGTTACAAAGGTAGCAAGATGACCGAGCAGTCAAAACTTCACAACAATCACTGCTGTGGTGGGACTATGAGATTTGAATTTTTAGGCTGATTATCTTCTGCACTGTTTTAAGACAGTGTTACATACTCTGCTTTGATGTGTTAATTCCATTGGGGTTGAGTTTGGTTCAAATGACTGATGCATTTTTATGAAATGCACAAAAACAAAATTTGAATTCTAACTACTGAGAAATGAATACAAAGTCTTTAGTGTAATAATATAAATCACTCGTAGGTCACTTCATTTGAACGTCATGCATGTACGTTATATCATTCAAAACAGATAGCAACACATAGCACAAATCAACTAAGTCAGACAAGATAGAAATTGTACCAAAAGTCCAAACATCGGTGTCACAAATCTTCTTTCAAAGGATACTCTCCATTTGACTCGACATCTTGAAGTCTTTCAGAAACGATCCTTGACGATAAAAAGTAGTGATRCTGGTCACAAGCACGATTTCTATGACGATTTATCCAAGAAAAAGGTTAATAAACTTCAAATTTCCTCACGTCTGTTTTTATCCTGMAAAGTCACTTCCAAATCTAACCAATGACGTCATGGAGCCTGCAATCTTCAGCGGCTGTGCTTCAAAGCTCCCATGATTCYTTGCAGTAAAAGACTAGACCCATTCTCCTTGAGCAGGAAGATGGCGGAAAGTTGAATCCTAAAATGGGGATTTTGAAGTTTATAAGCTGCAGTAGTCCGCTTAGCGTAAGCGCAAGACGATTTTTAGCACAAAGGCGAAGCTACACTCAGGTATGATCTTCCAATCCAGCATGTATTACTTTACAATCTTACTTTGGGAGCTGGTCGGGATCGTGGTGCGCGAGAGGTCTTTGCACTTCGCAAGCTACATTAAGCTTATGTAGCTATCGATTTGTTAGTTTTTTTTGGTGTTACATTGGTTAAACTTTGTCCACTAGTAAACTTATGATACAGTCACGGATTTTTGACATGCACTGGGTATATTACTAGTCATTATAATTGATGAAATCTGAAAACAAAGGAATGGTCTAAACGAGGCCTAAAGGGCATTGCAGCACAGGTAGCCCAAGCACTGGACTTGGCAGTGAAGAACGAAAAGTTCGATAAAAGTGGTAAAACTGAATAAAATTATTTCAAACTACAGCATAGTGTTCTTCTTATTTTTCTCAACGCCCCTGTGAAGTTTCAGCTCATTATGGTAAACTTTCCCCTACTTATATATATTATGACAAGGTTGCAGGAGACAAACCGACGAAAAACACAATCGAAACGGCTTCAAATTCAAGCATTTATTTGCCAAAAAAACACTTGCCGTTCAAATTGACTGTCATCACACATTTGGTTATGCATAAATACATCTTAATTTTGATGTCTTAGAGGCCTTCCTGCTCTTGACTATGCACTAAAGCCGTTCAAACACGAAGATCGACTCTCCAAAAATCAGGAAAAAGGTTTCACTCTCCATACTGTGGTCAGCAAACGAAAGCCAAATGGACAACCCAGGCCCCTTGACGGTTGATTGTCCGTTTTACCACTTTTATCGAACTTTTCGTTCTTCACTGCCAAGTCCAGTGCTTGGGCTACCTGTGATTGCAGTAGTTAATAATAACGTCAAGCAATTAATATTCACTCCATCTGAATTCAGGGCAAATTGCTAAGAACATTTTTCAAATTCTAAGCTGCTTCCAATTTTGGCATGCATGAAGTGGCAGTTCTTTCAAAGCTTTCTGATTGGTTAACTTGTACAAAACTTTGCTTGAATTGCTACTGTATATTGTAATAAGGCAAGCCATGCTGTC